AAAAAATAGTAATAGAATTGATGAGTTTAAACATAAATATAAAGGTATGTGTCAATCAAGATATATTCAAGAACAGGCTTAATGATTGATTAGATGGAACATTGTGGGTGTGGTGTATGAATGTTAACACCTTGTATTAATTCTTTAGTATGTTACTTGTGTGGTGTAGAAGATAATTATTTAAGAATGTAATTATGTAAGAATGTTAACACTCTGTTATAATTTTTTTAGTATATTACTTGTGTGGTGTAGAAGAGAATTATTTATGTAGAGATACTGCTTGTAAACCAATGATGGTAAGATGATGTCATGGGGTAGGACTGGATAAGTCTGACTTCTTCCTACTCCATTCAAGCATGTACTAGGTATAAGCAAATTGATATTGGATTATGTGTAAAATTATGTGTGTTGTCATATCAACTGTTTTTACATGCTTGAAAGAATAAATCAAATCAAATCATATCATACCATTTATTGCAAGACTGTAACTTTACTGATAAAATTAATGGTGTGTAAAAATCACTAAGAATAGAATACAAAATAACCAACAATGATAATGACACATCAGGTGTGGTTCACATGAGGCAAATCAGTTGCCACATTTCTTCCCTGTAGGCTGTTGAGATGGACAGTCTCTGGAATCCGAGCAGCACTAGCCTGGATTATAACAGGTTGATCTTTTGAGTGTAATTACACAACACAAAGAAACCCCTCTCTGTCTCTGTCTGGCCACTCAAGATTGGGTTTTTCTCATCCAGCAAGGGAACATGGAGTCTGCCCACCCCTTTCATAGACTCAGAACAAACACTTACTATTGTCTATCTCGATTAGTGTGCATGTGTGAGTTTTCATGTAGTACATTTTTCTGAGTCCACCATTGTTCTTAGTTTCTATGTGCATTAGCGAGGTCAACCGCCTTCAGAAATCCAAGGATGACCTTGCTACAGCATGTCCTTACACTGACCAGGCTCGCAGGACTGCATAGCTAAGTGATTTGACCCTCATATATTCACCCCAGCCAACCCTCACACAAGGCCAGCTTGTAGGAACATGACCTCTCCCCAAGAACACAGGTCCCTCTTTTAACCCATCACCTTGTAACCCTTGACCTCTGAGCCTCACCAATACTGAGACAACACAACACCACAAACATTTGAGCCCATTCCTGTGACTGTGATCACAGCTTGTCCTGCATATTCACAGGGTGCCTTGAAAAACAAACGACGACTCAAATTGCATGAAAGAGGCAAGTGAGGTAACCCTACAGACCAAAGAAGCATCCATGGCCTGAGGAGAGAGATGTTTCTGAATCTCTATTTTATTATAAGGGTTTCTGAGCTATAAGAAAAATAATTATAACAGGAACAAAACAGAAGTGCTGTCTAAAACATAGTCCAAAATCTCCCACTGGTATACAAGTGGGTTGAGGTCTGATGACTACCAAGGCCATCCCAGTAGATTCACATAATTTTCATACTCATCCAAGCATTCAGTGATCCCTTGTGCCCTATGGATGGGCACACTGTCATGCACCACTCATTTATTCAGGTAACTCAATCTTTATGCTAAGCTAAACTAATCAGCTGCTAGTTGTAGCTTCAAATGGAAGTAGATTCTTTCATGCCACTCTACAGTATACATGAGGTACTCAGTCTTCCTTTTTGACAAATTAGTAGTGGATTTATGTTCACAGTTAATAAAATGCACAAAATAAAGTAATATGCACATGGAGGTGACAAACCAGCACAAACTTGTTCCAGGATAAATTTTTGCAAGTGATGAGGGTATTATGGGACATTACTCTCATCAAGCAGGAAGTCTTCCTCTTCTTGAGGAGGGGGGTTGCCACGAGGAAAAGACTGTCTGTCCTTTCAAAGATTTTAGCTTTAATCAGTGGATCCGCTCAAAAGATCTGTCTGCGTCGAGCCCCCCTCCTCTACCTCATTCTGTCCCTGAAAACATGAGAAAGGTATACGTGTGAATGCTAGTCAGGGGGGTCCATAACTGTGGGGACCAGGGTGAAGAGAGCTGCCACACTAGGGTCATAAACGCAGGTTAGCATAATTCAAAAATAGCAGACAGTGTGTGCTGTGGTGCACTGCTAAATCCACAAAGCAGCTTTCTCCCTCTCTTATCTCCCTGGCCCTCTCCTCCAGATTTCAAAAACACTTGTGCACAAACAAGAATTAATGCCACTGCCAAACAGTCCATCTCCTCAGAATAATAACATGTCAAGTCATCAAAAGGTGTCAGACAATAAGTGTTTGGTTTTCTAAAAGTAGCAACAACTGACAAAATAAAATAAATATAAAAAAAGATATTTTACCAACAACTTTAACCATCAAAAATTATTAAGCATACATATACATTCATTGGAAGTCCTGGTTACTTCTTAAAGATTTTTAGGAACTATCTGGTCACAAAATGAATAGAGAATCAAATTCGGGTACAAGCTGCGACTTGAATCCAAACGACACCCAACTATATCTGCAATAACAACAAAAACAGCATGGCATACTGATAATGCCAGCACTGTTTTTAGCTGATATGGACATGTTTTGCCACCAGACAACTGGTCACTGTGAAGTCTCAATTTCAACCACCCCCTTTCCATGTAATATTACACCTTAACATTAACTGAGCTGTGGACTATTAGTCCTGTCCCACTGTAAATTAATCATATCAACAATTAAATCATCAAATTAACTGTAATGAAAGTGCGGACAATTTAAACTCTCTGAGAATATAGTGCTGATATGTATACGGCTGAAGGTTTGGGCAGGTAAATCCTCGTTTCTTGTAGTGTTTAGGTCTTAATGGGTTCATGGTGTCATTGACTGTAATCCACTTGACAAAACATGCATTGCTCCTGGTGAGGTTCTGACTCAACCACAATGTTTGCAATGCTAATGAAGAGAGAAGCAGATGACAACAGAACAATAATATAAGCACTAGTAAAAGAAGACATGCATGTGACAGCAGCTGTAGCTTAAGTTGACATAACACAAAGTCTCATCATCAAATGCATTAATCTCCTACCTGGACAGTCTGTAGAAGACAAATGCAACGCTCCCTGACATCTTCAAATGGACATCGTTGGGACAACATGAGCAGATGAGCCAGGATACCATTCAGCTCACTGTTGGAGGGGCTTCCAGAGGCTGGGGGCGAGGGGACCGATGCTGGTAAGGGTCCAATAGCCTCCACTTTCCTCATGACCTCCTGGCAGATGTTCTCCATGGCTTCGGTTCTGGAGCTGGCATCCCGGCTGCCGAGCCCATCCCATCTCCTCAGAAACTCCCGGTCCTGCACTTCCATCTTCTGACGTAGGACTAATGTTTGCACTGTCTTACAACAGGCTATACAACAGATAACACATGACACAGTCCAGATTTACATCACACAATCACAGCAGGTGCAACAAAGTGTAGGCCTACAACAGAGATTTGAATATTATGCTATTCACCATCAAACATTCCATTGTAGGAACTAAAACCCAACTAATATCTAGATCACACAGAAAATTATTTGCCAGTTTTTTTGTTAATTGCACCATAGTTAGATTTGGTTTGTTACCAGCTTCCAAGAAAAAGGCTTTATTCAAGTACAGTCAATTTAATAATACCACCAGGATCTGGCAGTTTAAGCGTTACTGCCATCTATGTGCTTTTTCAAACAATAATGAGCTGTAGCTGGTTTATGGTTAAAGACTTTTTAATGATATATCTGACATTATCCTGATTAAAATTGTACAAATACGCAGCTTGTCAGCTAATGAGATCCATTCAATATCTCGTTTTCCTTTCGTGCCAAGGCTTTCAAGCTGCCTGTTAACAAAGAAGCCGGTAAAGTACAGTAAAACTGCGGCGAAAAGAGCATTCCCACACACAAACCGTTCTCAGGGGACCAAAACCAAAAACTGTCATTCTTAAATACTCACTTTATTCACATTCTTTGGTGAAGGTCTCCCGCTACACGACCCCGACTTACCACAGAACAAACCAATAACGTTAGTCCCAGTTTACAGACGACGGGAGGCAACAACGTGAGGATAAACATTTAATTGGCAGAGGCAATGGCCAATGAGCGATGAGTTTTGGAAATCTAGGGCGGTGACGTTGGAATTATGATAATTTATTGGTTAGAAGAGGGTTACCAAGTTTTCGGGGAAGGGTTTATGGGAGTTGGATTCTCTTCGTTCAGCGTTCGCTTTGGAAGGTAGCGCTTCAAAACTACATCTCCCGTCATATATTGCGTCTGTAGCAGCCCCCTTTTTCTTGTTTATCAGAAATATTATGCAGAAAAACAGACAGGGAGACTGCGAGAAGGGGATTTGTTCTGTATTTAACCCCTTTGTGTTTCGGTAAAGTGTCAAACAAAAGAATGATCAATGTCAGATAATATAAACACACACATTTCAATGTCAACATGTCAAACTTTTAGTTACAGTGGGATTTTGATGTCCTGTGTAATGCAAGTCAGTAGAGACAAAGGTATAGGTTGCAAATTAGGAAACAAAAATATGAATCTACATGAAATGCACATACCTACAAAAGAAACAGTGAAACCAAAATAAGCTAAACAGTTAAAATACATTAGTTTTGTCAGTGCAGCACATCTGCCACACTGCAGGTATGCACCTGCAGACTGTTTGTGTATTCCCATGCAAATATTTACATGGTAACTGACCAGCTAAAGACACTTTATTAGCCTACAAAAATGCATTAAAGGCAGGGCTGGTGATTCTTTTCAGAAGCATTTTTATTACATATCTTGAAATTCTCTTTTCATCCCGATGGCAATGCATACATTAATGCACTGACAACATAAAAAAATATCTGTCATCTGTGGCAACAGCAGAGCTCAAAAAAGCCTAACCAATGATTTTACTCGTCCCAAGCAAAACCATTAAATGAGCTACCTGCCTGTCCGCCTAACTTCATACTTGCATGCACTCTGTTTTGAAAGCTAGTGAGCTATGGCAGAGAAGATACCCACAGCAGCTTTTGTTCACAAACACAAGCTTCCACTTTAAGACAAATAGCCTTATAGGTAATGTTGTTGCTAGAAATTGCTATTTGCATGTCATATGAGAGCAAGAAGACTGCTGCACAGAACAGGCTCCTTTTATATGCAGCCACGGATTGGGAAAATAACAATCATAGTGTATAGTTAGGACTGTAATACAGTTAACTGGGCATGAAACGTCACATGCAGTGTTTGTGTTACCAAAATTGAGCTTCCTCGTGCTGGTTTTTCCAGGATCGCCAACCCTACCTTTAACAAAACATTCATTATGCAAAGTATTCTACCTTCCCATTTAGCTGATGACAAGTGGTAGGCCTAATGCTAATACAAATTATGCACTGGTCCAATCCTGAGGCCTGCTGAAAGTCTTGAAGGGGTTTCTTTCTTAAATATAAAATAACTAATCAAGGTCATAGGAACAGCAAATATATTTATGGAAATTAATATAAGACTATAATAAGCCTATTTTATTCATTATTACTCAAACCATGGCTTGTGGCTCTTCATATTTCTGAAATCCAACAGTTTTGCAAGGTTTTAGTCTGTTTTAGTTTGCATTCAATCATTTTGTACATTTAATTCTATATAATGTTATCTTCCTAAAATGCTTTCTTCAGTGTGGGCTGGGTGGAAGCCTTCCTTTAGGAGGAAGCACATAGGGAAAGGTAAAACCATCCTACTGTTTTTTTTTTTCTTTTTCTTTAACTCGTGAGATGTAGGTGCCTTAAATTACAAAAGAAATACGCGAAACACTGAAACAGTGAGATGGAAGAGGAAACAATGAGCAGGCGGAACCATACTGAGGAGGGCGGCTAAGAGGAGGGAAATTTAAAAAGTCCGGACTGTCTGTTGGTGACAGTACAGCTGAGTCGCTGGATGAAGTCAGTTAGTTTAGCTACATTATAGTCGTTACAGATTACTTTGTAAGAATATTATTTAGATATAATCACGTGATTTCGAAGCGAGACTCACTCTCTAAATCACAGAATGGAAACGTATCACGATCAGGTAAAATTCGTTAGCTGTGAATGTGGCTAACACATTAGCTTTGCCATTGTTTAACGTTAGCTACCAGGTCAACTAGGAGCTGGACTGCTGGTTTTGTTATGTTTATCTAACTTAACTTACACGAGGGCGGTTATAAAGAGAGGTAGTTAGTACCATACACTATAGTAACGTTACTGCGTTAGATACACGAGTTTGTTTTTAATTAAGAAACCTTTTACGGTTGCACTTGTACTAGGGTCTAGTAATGCTTACGATTTGTGGATTAATCGGTTTACATTAGTCGATCGTCTGATAGTTTACCAACAGTAATTTCGACCATCAGTGAATAATCTCTTTGGACTGTTTGTGGAACAAAACAAACCATCTGAAGGCCTGTGAGACTGTGGACTGTGAGATATATATAAGCTTTCTTCAGTATATAGCATGAATTGAAATTGAAAATAACCTGTAGTTGCATTGTTAATAGTTTCAAAGCATCATCTTTCTCTTCTTGTCTGTAGATTTTAGACTCGCCCTCCAAAAACAGTTACATTGGCAGCTATTACAAGCCTCCAGACAGGATAGTACCATTACCAATAGAGCCTGAGCTCCGTGCACACTCAGCTACTAGAATGGACCCACAGGACACCAGCCTTCAGGTGCCTTTGACCAGACCTAATATTGACAGCAAAGGTAAGGCACAACAAATGTATCAAGCTTTTTATATCATACAGTGGTTTTGTTATGGCCACCTTTTGTTCTAGTTACTTGGTATGCTTTTCTCCTCCTCCTCTCCAGCTGTTATTGATGCCCTGAAGACCCTCCAGGAGAAAATTAGACGGCTGGAGCTGGAAAGGAAGCAAGCAGAGAAGAGCTACCAACAGTTCTGCCATGAGGCTCAGAAACATCAGCAGGTCACAGCATCTTACACAGTGCCAAGTCAACCAGTACACCACCTACCTGAGACAGATAACTCTTACAGGAAAGGTAAGTGATGGATGGTGTAAAGGGAGAGACTGCTGTGCTTCACCAGGATCAGTTTTTTGATACTATGACAATGTGTCTACAGTTTGTCTGTGTTTCTGATACCAGAGCTGGACTTGAAGTTGCAGTCTGCAGAGACTCGGTGTAAAATTCTTGAGAAGCAGCTGGACTACATGAGGAAGATGGTTGAAAATGCTAAGAAGGAGAGAAATGCTCTCATGGAGAATCAGGTAGTCAAGAAGTGTACAAAATGAAAAAAACTAAATTTAATAACAAACCTTTCTTTGAATCTAGACCATAACTATAAGTCAAATATGATATAGAGAAAGTGTAATATGTAAACAAACTACAAACATTTTAAATGAAGTGCAATGAACTTTTGCAAAAGGAAAATAGGTGCTATTTATATCCTTATGCTTTTTATCATCTGTGTTTTATTATTTCCTATTCCTAGCACTTCTGCATGTACTGTAAGTGGCATAAATGTGTCACTAAATAATCTGTTTACTTCCCCACCAGACTTCGCTGCAGAATCAGCAACCGAGCAGCTCAAACACCCAATCTCAGCGGGAGAAGTTGGAAAAACTTGAATCAGAGTGTCTCAAATTGAGTAGAATGCAGACACGGGCAGAAGTAATTCATTGTCTTACCAGCTGATTAGTCTAAACACTAATCACAAGCTGATTTATAAGATCATACTTTCAGTGCAACTTTGTTTTCAGATGAAGCTTGCAATTCTGGAGCAAAAACTACTGAAAGAAGAGCATGAGCGTAAACTTGTGCAGGAAAAAGCAGATGAGGTTAGTCCATAAATACTTCAGTCTGTGAATCAATACTTTAAATTTCCAGTGACACAATTTTTTTTACATTAAATGCTAAAATAAAGCAAATAAGTCACATTCAAATAATCATAAAACAACAACAAATGAGCTTTTCCTGACTTTAAAAATGCTATCACTGCCATGTCCATAGCTGCAGAGGGAGCTGGGTATCAGTCATCAATATCCTGTGCCATCTACTGAAGAGACAAAGCCAAAGAAGAAAACAAAAAAGACTATCAAGGTGTTTTCAGATAAACCAAATTAACTGCCTGTATTTAGCTAATGAGAAAACAGTGATAACAGTTGTCTTCTCCTTTAGAAAACCTCTAAACAGAATGAGCTGACAACACGCAGCAGCCTAAGATGCAAAAAAATGCCTTTTGTTGCAGGAACGGTGAGTCAGTTCTGATGCCCCTCACTAACTCTAAAATAGAAATTATTAATTGTTTCCCTTTTTAATTTCTTTTGATTAACTTTGATTTCCTCTTATCCGATACAGTCGACAAGCCCAAGCCATTCGGTCCATGCCAACGTACAAAGTATCCTTCACATGATGAAGTACCATCAGCCCCAGCTGTGTGAACGAGTCAGTGCTCTGCACAGATCTGGTTGTAGTGCCAAGAAAAGCCTCCAAAAGGACTTTTCTTCATCTTCTACTACTTTTAAGAAGTTTGAGAACCTGTCTGAGCAAGCAGATCAGTCACTGGGCTCGCTGTCTGACCTGCTTTTAGCTCTGCAGGATGAGCTAGGACAAATGAGTTTGTGAGTATTTTTTTATTGTGCTGTTTTTCTTTTTCTTTTATATTCAATAACCTGTGGGTTGTTGTTTTTTTTTGGTCAGTGAGCAGCAGGAGCTGGTGTGTCAGATTGATGCAACTGAAAATTGGGAGCAAAAGCAGGACCTGCAGAGAGAACTGGAGAGGTTGGCCATCAGAATAGAAGAGAAGGGAGCTCAAATCACTAAGCTCCGCAAACACCAGCAGATGGTATGTGAGCTGCCACTCAGTACAGCCCAGAGGGATGCTTGTAAATGCTGTATGTCAACAGAAATGTAAATATGTCCTCTATCTGTAGTGTCAGCTGATCTCCACCCCTGATTGTGTTAATAGTGTTTGATGTTTTCTGCCTCTGCATAGGTCCATAAATTGACCCAGAGCCAGCCATGTGCCGAAGAACACGCAGCCAAGAAGCGGGGTGGGATCAAGCCACCTGTTCCTTCTCCTGTTAAGGCAAAGCAGAAAGGTGGGACACCTCACAATAACCTGCAGCTTCTCAGAGAGACACAGAAGTTCAGACACAGCCTCAAACAAGATGACCTGTCCTGGGAAACATGAGCTTCTCTCAGAGACTTTCTGGGTTATGGATTTGATCCCTCAGTTGGATGAACCACAAGACTCCTCTTGGTTCCTTGCGACATGTTTTGTGTGGCCCAAACATCCTCTGGGCCATTTTAGTAACAAATAAAACAAGAGCATAAAGTGTTTTACATGGGATTTGAGCATGTGTTTATCATAAGAGCTGTAGTTTTGGCTCTTACAAGATCTACAGAATGAAATGAAATCTTAGTTTTTAGTTAATGAACCGTGGCCTTAACTGGCCTACAGAATGACTTAATGAAATGCATTTAGTGTATCAAATTTCAGATGAAGCTGGATAAATATTTTTATTTTTTTATATTCAATAAAACCTATTCTCTATATATTTTTGTTTACATTTTACTTATGTCAACACAAAAAATGGTCAGTAATTCTATACTGATGTTAGGACTTCAACAACCACTAGATGGCGATGCTTAGCCTAGTTCTGTACACAAATGTGAAGGCTTTTACTCTTAACGAGTCTTGCCATTATATGTTTGATAATAAGATATAATGTGTGCAGAATCAAGTTCCTTATGTTGTGAACAGTCTAGAATAGAGATGCACCACATGTTCTGTGAACTCTGTGAACAGCAGCTGGTTGGACAGCTGAGTAAATGTAGCCCTGACCACATGAGAAACATGTGGTTATCGTGCACTAGTTGGAGTTTCACAATTTCAAACAGCTCTGTTCACCTAAATTCAGCTATGACAGCTACCTACCTGAACAGATGACAGGATGCATGCCTGGTATGGCCGAGCCTTTCACATTTGCTCTGTTTATTTGAGTCAGCTACTTTGAATGGGATAATAACCTCACGTGAAGCAGCCTGATAACATTCTACATAATCTTCTCATTACCATGTCTCAGCCAGAATTTGTGATGCTACAGTATCATTTCTGACTTTAAAGCTGAGCTCAGACTCTCACAAATAACTGAAGAAACAACAATGATGGTATAATGATACAATGTTGAAAAAAAAAACTAAAAACATTGAACATCCTTTGCCTGTCCAGGGTTCAGGGTCATAGGAGAAGAAAGCTGCTGACTGTTTAACTTATTTTTGCTCCCTGCATTCAGTTTATTATCTAGAAAATGATACTTGGTCCTGGTATTCTTGGTATGATGCAGATCACTGCATGGTTAAATGGCCTAAATTGTGTGTGAGAGAGACTAAACCTAATGCATTTTTTCTTTGTGCTCCTATATTAATCTACCGAGCATGACTGGACACAGCAATCAGTTTAGCTGAAACAAGTCAAGACTCCTCCATGCCCACATATACAACCTCGCCATCTGATTTCACCCTCCTCCAACTCGGATATCTTGTGATTGTACACCCCTCTCTTTGTCTAGTATTGAATAGCAGAGGTACGGTATGTGGGAGGGTTTGGTAGTCATCAACGTGTGTCCGGCGTTTTGTTGTGGGTGTGTGAAAGGATTGCCTATAAACAGCTCCTGGGACATCGTCTTTTAAAGAAAGATACATCTAACATTCAAAGAATAACGCACTGGGAAAAACTAAAAAGTCCTCAGTATGTGTTTACATGATAAGTAGTCACTAAAACGTTCGCTGGTATTTTCATCTTCTTAGTGAGAGAACCTTAAGACAGAGCATTGCAAGTTTTGCTATCTATGTCCAATCCCAGGAGAGGGTACACTAAGTGCAGGGTTGCAGACACATGAGAGAGGAGCTGTGGTGCGGTTATGCATACAACATTCTGTCCTGAAACTTTCTTTGGTCCTGGGAAACTTTGCCAGCTGGGAACTCTGGGCCACTGCAAGAATGGCTGTGTTCAGCAAAGACAAACTATATGAGCACACACCTCATTCAAGAATGTTGTCAGCTGTGTGGCCCATGATTCTTGAGTGTGCACAGATACACACGCTAACATACACACTAACATTTCCCTTACAGCTGTCTATTTTTTGCTATGTAAGCAAAAAATTGCTGAGGCCTAGGAAACTGGTACTGCGTGTCCTGTTAGGAGGACAAGATAACAAACACTAAAGTGTGACAAATGAATTGGTTGTTTTGAACAGAGGGGTGGTGTATTTGGTTTTTTCTGTCTCATTGACTGCTTTAGAAATAATGTCATTGCCACTGATATTTGCACATAGCTAAAAAAGGGCACCTATTTAATTTTCAAAAACATGCTGATTGTTATCGTGCATAAAACATCGTAGACCTTAAGAGACCTCAGTAAATGATAAGAAGTTGAGCAATGGTTCTCAACCTTTTAGCTTTTGACTCCTTAAATGAAATGTGGGCGGTTTAACAATTCTTCTCAAATTGTTTTGAGGGATATTTAGACCTGACAGGTGAAAATGTCAAGCATTACATTAGACAAAAAAAGCAAAAAACAACAGTGAATAAATGTATTTTCGGAGCTTATTGGGTGAAACACAAAGGGAGGGGATGGGTGGGGTGGATCCTGCATATTGCAATATTAATCTTATCATGTAAAATATATCTATGAGTTGATACAAGCTTTTTATGTCTAACACACTCAGACACAGGAGTTGAACAAAAGGTAACATGTTATCACTAACAATCTAAACACAAATCACAGTTGTCATGTCAGGTGATCAGCCAGATGACATAAAAGGGTTAAAAAAAAAAAAAAAAGACTTCCTGTACAAAGGGCACATTCACTTATTTGCTTTGTTGCTGTGAGGTAGTTGAGGCACCACTCTAGTTAAAGTGTGTAAATGAAATATGAAGCCAACACTGTTTTTGTCTTATGTAATGCTTGACATTTTGGTGTCAAGCTTCATATTTCATTTACACACTGGTGGTGAAAAGTAACTATAAAAAAATGTATTTGCACTGTATTTACGTGCAAATTTTATGTACCTTTACTTGAGTAATGTACTACTTCTAGCCTACTCCACTACATTTCAGAGGGACATGTACTTTTTACTTTACATTTACAAATTTCATGTAAAAAAAAAAAAACCTTTTAAAACATGATACCCAAAGCATATAAATCCAAGATTAAAAGGTTAGTGGATTAATATCTATAGGCTAATCTTATAATGGAGTGTTTTTACAGTGCAGTGTTGCTTTTCTACTTTTGATTTGAGCATTTCCTCCACTGCTGTCAGTTGGTTAGCTTAGCATTAAGGAAATGCAGCCTAGGCAAAAGGGAGCTGTCAAAAAGTACATTAACTGCCTACACCAGTTGTCACGGGTAAAGAGCGCCAATACCCAAGTGTCTAGATACTGTAAATATGATGACTGCTACTCTTCTTTAAGAGAACTTGTTGACCTAGCATTAGCAACACACACCGGGCAAAACAAAGCAAAGCCTGAACCTGATACCTTCTGTTGTCAGGCCAACAGGTCTCTCCGACTCTAACCGTGGCAATGAAGCACACTGACCTGGCTCTGTCTCATTGTCCCATTTGTCATGTAAACTGCCAAGCTCCAAGAAAACTGACACTGCTGTCAAATGAAAGGTTAACAATGCAATGATTTGTTTAATATTCAAACTTTATTAGCTTAACATTGTGAAACTAGAGGCAACACTTGAAAATAAGGCAAACAAATATTTCAGAGGAAAAAAGGGGAACAAAATCACAAAACATTTAATGAGGGATTGTGGCACCTGAAAGAGTTTACATAAGGGTGTGTGTGTGTGTGTGTTAAAGTGAGGTGGCAGAAAAGCAAAAAAGAAAAAAAAAAAGCATCCTTAAGACCGATGGCTTTTAACACAACTGGTAAATACATGGCATTACAGTGTGTGCACATATCAGTAAAGCCACAAAGCAAAGGAGGGAATCAAAAGGCTTTAACTCTTGAAATTGAACACTGTAAGACTGAAAACTGATGCAAGAACCCTCCATGACCAGGCAAATGTGGATTTTGAATTTAAAATCCTAGTGGACAGAAAACAAGTCATTTAATGCCACAGTTGAAAATTACTGTCAATGTCAAGTTATCACATGACTGTGGAGGAAATGTTGCGGTAAAGAACACGAGAGTTCTGTGGCTGTGGTTACAACAGTACCGGTGAGTCGTTTTATCACAATGAGGAGATGAAAAGTTGTACCGGCTGCAACCAGGCTTCATCTGGTTGAAATCTATGCCAATCATTAGCTGGTTATAGCCATATAAACATCCCATCCGCTCACATCTAACAAACTTTTCAAACAGAAGTAACTTGGTATTATCTGGACAGCTTATCACTAGCAAATGCTCTGTGGATTTGATAAAGAAGTTAAGGCCGAGTGTGACAACACAGACATTAAGCAAAATATAGCATAGAAATCCAAACCTAGAAAGTGCTGAGTCCCACTAACATTTGATAGGTGTGGCATATCAGTTTACAAACTACATCTATATATGGATATTAACTGAATAAGGCACTTTTCCCTAAGAGGTGCAGGGACTGAGTATTTTGTAGGAGAAGCAACACAATGGACTGACTAATGGTTTCCATGGATACCAGAGCTGTTTTGAGACTATAATGTCAACATGTGATGCTGTCTTGTTAAGGAATTCGGTGGTTATATACCACTCAACAGCTGTGAATACAACTATGTCTCTAAATTTGGGCGAAGGGCCTCCTCATGTAGAGAATGAACAAATTGGTGCAGCTAAGGCAAAACTCTGTAGAAACCCGCCCTACTTGGGTCTTTGGGATGTAGCCTAATGCCACCAGGTGACTGTAGGTTTAAAAGCGTGTCAATGGTGAGCAGCAGAAAACGTAACCCTAAATTACGCAAGCAAAAACAAACAAAAAAAAAAACATATGGACTCAAATTTCTTACCATTTTGTGGCGATACAAAACAAGGTGATTATTCATCCATTATCTAGTTAATATCCAACACTAAGTATTTATACAAGCATCTGATTTTTTTTCTTTTTGCTGAACCATGAAAACATTTACCAAGTTACAAAACAAAGCTTGTCAGTGCAATATTTAATATCCATGCCAAAACGGAGGACTTTGGCTTAATGCACACTTGTTTCAAGGCATTCCTCAACTAGCATATGAGCTAATCATAAATAATCAAGTGGTTTTTGAGTGTGTCTAAATCCTTAAGAGCATATGCCATGAGGGGAAAAAACCCACAACCCCCAAGCATCCAGCATGCAATAATTAAAAAAGGCATTTGAACAACTCATTCTTGACACTGACAAGCACTGCGAGCAAAAATTTCAGAAAAACGATCCTTCATTTAGCCTTTCCTCAAGTTGAAACCCAGAAGACGAACAAAAACCAGGACATGGCTATATACAGAAGGGACAAAATCACACTTGGCAGCAAGTTAATTAAATAACTTGACATGAGCTGTAGCAGAGTCACTTAGTTGTTGTAGTTCTGCACTCCATTCACAATCTCATTTACATGGCAGAAATCAGAGGTCCAAATTCTTATTTGCCCAAACAAGTACTCCAACATTTTTATCCCTAAGCAACCTACAACACTCAAATGTTTAAATTAAGCCCGAAAAGTCGGTCACTTCTTTAAAAGGTACACTCCCAGATTTATAGCCCCAAACAGCGGCCCAAAATTTCCAGCTCACTGTGAGGGCTTTGTAATTTAACACAATTCACAACTAAGTTCAGAAACAAACCATGAGATGGAAGGACATTTGGAAGCAGCACTGGGGTCTACAAAAAGGGGAGTGCCTTTAAATGATCTCTTTAAAAAAAAAGGTCACCAGTGAGAGGACCATAGGTTTCACTGAATACAGTCCTCTCTATATGGGGAAAAACTTCAACGGTCCTTGAGTCACAACTAGCCATTGTATTCTTCAACAATAATAGGCTCTTCTTCAGGCCAGCTGGGATACTGCGCTTCTCACTGTTCACCAGTAGCTGCTTGCAATAGTGCTTCTTTCTTACAAACAAACTAATGACAACACTCAGGCCTCAACCAGGAAGAAGAGACTCGCCCTCTTCCATTTCTCTCTTTAAGTCATACTGGACATTAAAGGCACTTCGCTGCCATCACTGACCACATCAAGAAAGGTCCATGTCATTTTCATTATCTCCACATTCTCCATTTTATACACGATTCATATTCTACAATAGTTCACCGTCACCCTTTCTCACTAATGAAGGGCCAGCTCCACATTAGCAGTCCAAGTGGGTCAGATCAGATGTTAGCCAGGATGAGAAATAACAGCTGGGGGTTTAATGGTTGGTAAATGAAATTGATAAACGATTTATTGCACTGAGCCGCTCTACTGGCAGTTGGCGTTTGACATTTTTAACCACTCTTATTGGGTGAATGATTTCCTCAGGGAATTCGGCAGAAAACATTCCTAAATGCCAAAGGAGACACTCATCTTCTGTTTACCAGAAGAACAGAAGGATTACTACTGGTTTTAGTCTGACATCAGATGACTGGGTGTTGCTTTTATAACCTCATGATAACCCCACCTTTTTTACATCATCTATGAACACATTACATAATACAGCTGTATGGGGGAGAGGGAACCTGCTCATGATTCAATGGGCTAAAAGCAACACTGAATCATCACAGTCATGTTTAAGAATAGCTGTGAACTCAAACAGTGTTTTCAACTCAAAATAAAATGCAGCATCATGTGACCACTCGTGGTGTATTTAATTACGGAAGCCACGAGAAGGGGGGCTGTAAATAACACAAAACCCCCTCAAGTTGATGGAGAATGGTCTCCGCAGGATGACCAGCAGCATGATGGAGGTGGGAGTAGCTACCAAAATGATGCACTGTAATCCATACACTAAAGGCTCAAATGCCACATCACTAGAGATCTACTTAGCTGTACAAGCTGGTGCAATGGGAATTATCACACATACAGGCATGCATGGGTGCCCTAATACACACTACCACACTAATGCAAGCTGAAGCCACGAGTGGCACAAACAGATTAAAAAAAAGAAAAACCTGTTTAAAAACACTGTTTGAGTCCATTGTGATGAGCGTGTGCTGAGTAGGGGGACAGGTTTAGTGGTGTAAATCCAACAGAGGTGCTGCTTCAAAGGGTGTGGTAGTTACGGTCCTTGGACTTGCAGAATTTGTATAGGAAGAAGATGACAGCCTGCAGGCCCAGCACAAGCACTATCCCACCAATGAAGCTTGCAGCGTCGAAGGATGAGCGCTTGTGAGGGTTAACTGTGGGGGAAACTGTTGTGGTAGTTGTGTTGGTTCCAGCTGTAACAGAATTGAGATAAGTTATTCTTGTCTACGTAAATTACAGGACAGGTTAAAAAGCTCTCACTCTCTCTCACTTTGTGTTTTTCCATCAGCACGGGTCAGCCCGCTTTAATTGTGGGCTGGCCTCTGTTTCCATCTGTTCCTAACAGCAGGGACTAATCATGCTTCTACCTAGGGCCAAGTGAGGCCGAGCACCGCCTTCGACAGAGGTGGCTCATCAACACACTTGATTGGCTGAAATACTGCACTGAAAGAAAGTCCTTACATTCATCATCAACCTTTTATCCGTTATTTCATTGCAGGAAGATTTGAAAATGGAGTCTGAGGGGTTCAAATAACGCCTAGGACCAAGGGTTCCATGTTGCAAGCTAGTAACATCACACCAACACCCTGAGTTCTGTGGTGCTTCTTAGCGGCTTGTGCCGCTTCGTGCAATCAAGATGCAAAGATAAACAATGTGTTTTATGGTGCAGTGGAAACACAAATGCACCGATTCAGGAAATTCTTAGCACAGCTCTGCCATGCATGCCTCTGCTTGTTAGGGCTGACCTATGCTAATGGAAAAAATACCAAATGTCAGACTTACTTGAAGTAGAGGCTGTAGACACAGTCGTGGTGTTGACATAGGTGGTGGTGGTGGTTGCATTGTCTGTTGTAGGGTCAGATTAAGAACATGTACATTAGCCTTTACCACAGTAAATTTTTTGGCTAGTTCCAAGTTGTAATCCTTCCTGGTCAACTTAGCTACATCTGTGGTTACCAGCATAACAATAAGTTTAATTTTAAAACCAATTATACAGCAAAATGTGTAGTTTCTCAGGACAAAAAAAAAAAAAAAGAAAAGCACTGGTAAATCTGTTTACAGTGCAGCCAAACAAACGCTCCGTCAGTCAGCTAGAACCTGATTTCATGCTTCATGCTGCTGAAGAGATGAGGATATGCTGCCTGCTGCCTTTTACTCAAACATACACATAACTCTGCATCCAACTGTGGTTGCTCCATTTTTTTTGCATTTTACCAAAACAAAAACAAAAGATCTGTTGAAGAAAAGGCTAAAAATAACTTGTCTTGTTTTCTAAACACATTTTTGATGGGCAACAAATGCACCTAGCGCTGACTGCTTTCACAGTAAAAGCCACCCTGTCTTACACTAGTTGAACACTTAATGTGAAGCAGCAGTAGTAGAGAATGCCTGTTTGCAACAGACTAGACAACACAGACTAAAACAGGCCGTAGCAGAGGGTTTCAGGAAGTGGTTACCTGTGGTGGGCTGCGGGCTGCTGCTGCTGTTAGATGCTGTTGTGGTGGTGACAACAGGGGGAGGGAAGGATGTATGAGGAGGAGGAGTGGGGGCAGCTGAAGTAGGGTCACTACTTTTCTGGACAGTTGTTGTTTCAACAGCTGGACAGGAAACCAACACCAAGATAGGGCAAGAAAAGGATGAAACACCACCCAAATTACAAGGTTATGCCCAAAAAAATTACACAATGCTCCCTCATCCTTTCTCTTGTCAGGTCAACATGACACAAACAAAAAAAGGATGAGAGAAACTCTAGATGCTGAGACAGACCATTAACTGACACCTTAGAGCACAGATAGACCAGAACTGAATCTGTAGAAAATATATACCAATAAACTTGGAGAAATTATTATACAGTCTACTGATTCTCTTAGGGCCTAAAGAAAGATGTTAATGCAAAATGTTTATTTTCCACTTTGATATTTAGAACCTCGGTGCTGTTAGACTTACCTAAGCATTCAGTGGTGTTGCACTTGTCCTTTATGTCCTGAAGAGTAATGTTGTAACAGCCAATAGCTGAAACACACAAAGGTTTCATGAATTAAATGACTGATTCATGCTTTAAAGCAGAGTTCAGTGACTTCTGTTAGCAAAAGGCCTTTGTTCTGTTGGTTTGTTATCTCATCAAACCTTTATTATACATTTCCAAGAAGAAGCCAGATGATCCCAAACATCACTAGGAGTGCAACTCTAAAAGCAAAAGGGGAGGGGGGGGGTGTTCACTCAGCTAAGTCATAGTTTGATCATCTGGGTGTATTTTATTGTATAATACAATTACTAATTAACCACGACAGGAGGGGACTTTGCCCTGGCATAAAGTCCCATATACTTTCATACAAAGTCAAGACACAGCCCTGATTTTGCACAAGAAACAACACGAGTTATTTAGTAATTTATCCAAGAAACTCTACTTTTAATCATTTATAGACCCAAGATACATTATAAGATAGAATGTCTATCAATGTTTGTCACTTTCTTCAATGGTACAGACGGCCTGTGTCACAATGAGGAACCCATGAGTCATAACTAGCACCTTGTGGCAATATATTTTTTTCACACCCACTTATATGGTCTTCACTTTACTGCTGCAAACCTACAATGCCCACATACCTACAGGAAACAGTTCAATAAATTGTCTCATGTGACCTCAGGCTTTTCACTATTTCTAGATACGTTATAAACAAAATAATACAAAAAATAGAAAAAGCAGTGGAAAAAAATTGTTATTACAGCAGGTATTCAACCACAGTGTTGTAAAAGCTTTACTTATTACTGGACACGTTAGCAGCTTAGCAGTGCTTTGATCTGTCTGGACCCAGCCTGGAACTTGCTGGTCAGGGACACAGTAATGAGAATACAAAAACAGTATACAAATAACCTACACGGCTGCACTTAGCCTTCACTTGTCTCAGTGCTCTGTGGAATGCAGTCTTACAGGTCTTCAAAAAACATCTCAAGCAACACAGAAGTGGAAAAATGTCCCATAAAGCTTCAGTGATGATTACATCTGGTGACAAAGGAGATTAAAGGTGTTCCACCTTGACTCTGTGTTGATAAAACCTCTACTGAACATTTATACATACATATGGGGGCACTGTCATCCTAAATACCGGAACATTGGAAGGGGAATTGAGCCTACTCGTTGTGATGCACCCAGTGCTGTAAAATGCCTTCCTACCCCCTTCTTGCTTGTTGTAGTCCAGATCAACCAAACCTAATGACTCCCACCAGATGGACACCCATAAATTACAGATACCCCAACATTAACAGTAAGCAAGCCTGCAGTGGCTGCTGAAAGCATTTTTTGTCTCTAAGTAGGGTCAAAAATGACTCACCTGCTGGTGCTCCATTTCCCACACCTCAGAGTTCTATTTTATGGTCCTCATATCAGGTTTATGCATCTTTGTTCACTGGCTGTGGTTACAGACAACTATAAAATGGGTTTGATGCTAGAACTATTAGCTTGTTGGTTTAATTATGTGGTTATTTATGAGCCAAGGTTTTATGGTGTTTGCTAGCTATTGTGTGAGGTGTCTATTTAACGAAAGGGAAGGGGGATACAATTTAAGGGGTCAGTTAAATTAAAAAATTCATGCTATACGTACAACCAAAAAAAGATTTTGTATTTCCATAAGTGGTGTAAAACTATGGAATAATTTAAGTGTAGACATAAAAAATAGTAATAGAATTCATGAGTTTAAACATAAATATAAAGGTATGTGTCAATCAAGATATATGCAAGAACAGGCTCAATGATTAATTACATGGACAATTGTGGGTGTGGTGTATATTTTGTAACTATTCTTTAGTATATCACTTGTGTGATGCAAGAATATTAACACTGTTATATTCTTTTTTTAGTATAATATGTGTGTGCGTAGAAGTGAACCATTTACTGCTTGCAAACCAATGATGGTAAGATGATGTCATGGGGTAGGACTGGATAAGTCTGACTTCTTCCTACTCCATTCAAGCATGTACTAGGTATAAGCACATTGATATTGGATTATGTGTAAAATTATGTCTGTTGTCATATCAACTGTTTTACATGCTTGAAAGAATAAATCAAATCAAATCTATAGGTGCAACTGAACCTTGACTTGCCAAAGCAACTTCTCCCTATTTAATTTATGTTTACCATTTTCCAGATTTTAGCAGTGACGTTATAACTGACAAACAAGGGAAATCCCCCCAAAATCTTATATTTTAAACTAAAAAGTGAGAGTTTTTATAGCTGGAAACTGTGATTTAGCTATACCAAAGTAGTATAAAAGTAGTTATCAATGTGTTGGCAGCCTTATTTTCCACACTCTCTCTGTGATCTGACACTGTATGTGGAAACCATGTGAAAGAAGCCTTTTTCAAGAAAGTGATACAAGGCTGGCTTGCTCAAGCCAGAGGTGTGAGTGAAAGCCTCAAGGGCTCATCTTACCACAGAAAAACAGCCTCTGGGTTTAGAGCACCCAACCAGCTTAGTCACTAACTGCAGCATGTATTTAGAGGAGCTACAGAACATGCATGTACACGTGTAAAGTTTTTGAGCGTCTAAACACTGGGCAGCAGAGAAATGTGCCTCTGACACCAAAGGCTTATTTACACACAATTCCTAAAACGAAGACAAATGTGGTAATGACAATGTGGTAGGCATAAGCTCAGCATGGCATTATGGTTATGCTGTATTTTAGCAAACCACTACCCCTGGACAGGGTTCTCTCTCACAAAGTACAATGAACTTAATCTCTCGGCTCTGAGAAAAGGTAAATAATTGTCATCTTACCATTTCTGTTCAACCTTAATAAGACACCAAGTAATTTATTATCATAGGGCCACTTGAAATACAAAGCAGGAAGAGGGTGTGGGATCACAAAATCCTGGAAAGAACCAAAACTTCTTATTAGTGAAGCTGTCAAACAGGCCAACTCTCAGGAGAGCTAAAGTTCCTGTGCTTGTCCTATTAACATTAACAAATGTAGGACCTTAGCTTACTCATTCTGGATCGACTTTTAACACCATTGCCGTGACACATGTTACAGTATCTCACTGCGTTTGAGACTAATCACAAGTGAAATAAAAGACAGGAACACAGTATATGCAAATCGTGAACTACGCCCAAGGGATTATGGGAGTAGCAAGGCACATGAAATCTTCTATCTGCAAACTCTTTCCTCTCAAACTCTTAGGCTCTCCTTCCTTCTGTTCCCCAGCGTGAGGATATCGCAGGCTTCCTGCCACACATCCCCTCGCTTCCTCTCCTGTTCATCATCTTGACAAATCTGTGTGTATCTAGCTACGCATACTGAGGCAAACATTGGAGTACAGCCCTCTAGGGTGATATGGTCAGCATTGCCATATTCATGAGGATTTCTTTCCACCTACACAGTTCAGGTATACCTGACCAAACACTTCATCAGAAGTGTGCATTTAAGCCAACAAACTCACATGTCTATCACATCATCTGAATGACAAACCTATGATTTTATAAACAGAACATAGTGTTGCCTTATCTCTGCTTTACCCATAAAGCCTGTAACCTTATTCCATGACAGTGAATACATCATTTAAAAGTTAACATCCAGGGCCATGCATTCTCTCCATACCCAGAGATCATGTGTCCAATCAGCTCAGCTGTCTGGACAGTTCAAGACCTACAAACAACAACCTGTGTGTCTCACCCCATAACCTGCCACACAACTAGAACAGATACTCACATGTTGTACAGTTGACCCAAGCACAGTCAGCGATTGTACATTCAGCGCATGACAAAGTGGCACATCCATCTGTAAAGAAGTCAGAAATCAGGTTTAGTTATGGTAGTTATGAATAAAAGGTAACGTCCTATATGTGGTGGAAAATGAAACTGTAGCTCTCCAGAGGTTTCTGGAAAATGCGGAAACGGGTCTAACTTACAATAGCATTATAAAAATTTTTAGCACAAACAAACATAGCAGGACATAATGTAATGATACTCAGTATAACAAAGACGACAACGGGGCACAGCTGTTTGTAATGCACAGTAAAGCTGTTGCTTAACAAGTTGATCTGGTCCCTGGTACTTGATCAACTGGATATGACATTTACTGTAACACCGGTTTTATTCCTACTTTCACAGTTTACTCCCGTATCCTCTTATAATTCCAGTATATACACAATACTGTAGTTACACAATGTATATTTAATGCCAAATCACACAGCTTGCTAGCAGGCTAAAGCCTTAGCTAGTCCTTACGACATGAGTCCCACCGTGGAAATAAAACTGACAAGTTGCCAATAAGAAAATATACTTTCACTAAACCAGCAAAAGCATACAGTAAGTGACAACTGTCAAACCTAGCACAAAGGCATCCAATATGTGATGCAATGGATGAAAATTGAAGCATACAGACAGATTAAAATCAGTTTACCAGGAATGTCTTAAGCGAGCTAAGGTGGCACACGGTAGGCTGGTAGCTAGCCGCTAGCTCCGCACTGAAAGGTCGCAAACTTACCTGAGTCTGTCGCGGCTGATGCGCCAATCAGAGCCACAACTACAGCGAAAAACACCACCTTCAAGCACATGACTACGGCTAACTTATTGCTCTGTCTGTTCAGCAAGGCAAACGTATCTGCTGGGAAACGTCTAGAATGAGATTTCGGAGTATTCACTGCTTCCTCCCGTCGTGCGTTCCTAGTTGCTGCTGCTCGCTAGCTCGCCACTTCCTACTTGACACAGGTCATGTGGCACTTTTTTTTGCTGGGAGCGGTGAAGACATTAACAGGACGCGAGCTGCTTACACGTCAAAGGTAATTTAGAGGATTAACTAAAACTTAAACAGAGTTTATTCTTGTCATACAAGGTTTTGCTTCTGATTGACCGAGCTTCTGGCAACGCCGTTCACAAATACCTGATTAACGGGTACACCTGTGACGCACAAACAATGAGTAATAATATGCAGCAATACCCTCTTACACACATGGACGGACTGACGCGCTAGAGGGCCCCGGAGCACAAATGTACCATGGCCCCCTGCTCCCCACTTCTCATCCAACCAGAGTTAGAATATTTTAGAGGCAGGGTTGGCGATCCTGGAACAAAACAGCAAGAAAAGGCTTGTGTCTTGTTGTAATCATTTTGTGTCAATGCAATACAGTGAAACCATTCTCAAAGTATATCTCTCCCATACAGAAATGAACCAACGTGCAACCCCTTAAGGATGATTAAATGCTATCAGACACAACCACAACTGTGTCATCTGACTCAACAAAAAGTAGAAATAGAATGCAAATTTTCAAATAATAGTAAAATGTTAGTAGTAAATCTAAAATGTTTTTGCAGATGCAGAAAGGCGCTACAGAGGATCATCACCACTGCCCAGGAAATCACTTCCTTGGAGGAACTTTATAACTCCCGCTGCCTCAAGAAAGCCCAAAAGATCTGGGAGGATTCTTCCCACCCTGGGCATCATCTGATGGAAATGCTACCTTCAGGCAGACGTTTCAAACAGATTAAAAAATCAGCTTCTACCCAAAAGCAATAATTGCACTGAACAGCTCATAAGTGGGCAACACTGTACCGCACCTCACAATACACTGTGTTCAGCTTATATGTAGTATGTCATTATCATTACTTAGTAAATATGTGACATTGTACTGTACCCTACAATGTTGTTTGTAGCTTTTAACATATTTAACATAATTATTTTATTCCTGTCAATATGGAGATGAACATTTGCAGTTTATGTCTGTCAATGTGCAATAAGTGTGATTTTTATGTGGTTTATAACTTTTTGTTTTTGATACTGACACATTTTTCTCTACACCTGAGGTTTGCACCCAATTTCGTTGTACTGTGTACAATGACAATAAAGATTCTATTCTATTCTATATGTACTGTAATTCATATGTTACATGTTATGTTTATTTTACTACATCACAAATATTGAAAACATATTTTAAAAGGCATCAGTTACAAATGTTTAGCTATAGCTTTAATACTCCACAATTTGTAACTTTACATTCATACTTGGGTCTTTCATTGCAAGTCAGGGCATCTTCTAATCTCCTGAGGATGTCGACACCTTCAACCACTTGTCTAAGATAAACAAAAACACAGAAATGTGAGCAAAACTGTAACACACATATGAAGTTAAATTTGGGAAATTAAATTAATGTAGTTAAACAAACCCAAAGGCGACATAAGTCCTGTCCATCCAAGGCGTTGGCTGCAGAGTGATGTAGAACTGGGATCCGTTGGTGTGGGGGCCCTTATTGGCCATTCCTAGAGTGCCCCGCTTACAATGGGAAACAGCAAAATTCTCATCTGAAGGAGGAAAGGACACATGCTTATGTGAATTTAGAGTGAGTAAATCCATTATTATACATTTTCCTGAAGAGTTTACTGCAGATGTTCAGTGACTGTTTATATCTGTACCCTCAAAAGTTGGTCCATAGATTGACTCTCCTCCATCGCCCTTCTTTTCTGGAGAAATATCTGCAAAATTGAGAGCTACAGTTACTGCATGATTAGACCACAGTGATGCTGCAAAATGCAAATTTCAAAGTATTGTACTTGTGCTTCACTTCCTCAAGTTCATAATAGCTTCTGTATTAATTTACATTTATTACCCAAGTATGTAAAGGGGTCCACTGTTCATTTAGCTTCAAAAGATGAGAAGTTAACAAAGCTGATATCACTAAAATGTATTGCAGCTTTTAAGATCAAATAAAGATATAATTTTAATCTAAATTATTAAAACTATGTACAAAATGATAATATATTGATATGTGATTCATATCTTCAGCTGGCATGTACTGTATGTATTCCATGCAAAAACAACTACAATATATGCAAGATTATAAAATTCCCTGCAAGGTGCCAGATTATGTAATTTTGTTGTACCTCTATTAAATTTGTATGAACCACATGAAAACCAAGTATATGTTAGGACTGGAATGGACAATAGAGTACCTCCACCTTGCACCCAGCCATTGGGCACCACACGATGAAACAGAGAGCCCTTGTAGCAGAGCCCTAGGCCACTCGGTGACAGTCCTCGCTCTCCTGTGCACAAAGCCTCAAAGTTCTTTGATGTCTTTGGACAAACATCTGAGAACAGCTGAGAAGGGGGAAGACAATGTGTCTTGAAAACATCAGTCACCTCTAAATATAAAGGCTGGTTTGAAAAGGCACAGGGGTGAGATAACACTGGTGGTACTTATGTGTAAACTGTGAAAATACATAAATGTGGATCCCGTCCTTTCTGTTATCTCACCTCAAACAACAACCTCCCTGCTGCTTCTTCTGCTATCTCAATATCCATGAAGGCAAACTGATGCTATAATGAAACAAAAAAGATTTGTATTTTTAGTGTTTGATTTTAAATGTATAGAAGTCAAAGACATGCATTCTACTACCTACCACAGAAGAGAAATTAACTTCCTATGCACCAATATTTTTGTGCTTACATAGCCTTTTGCTATTTACAGTATGTGACTGTGGTGTTGACTTACCCCAGTTTGCTGGAGGTATTTGGTGTAGTAGTCTGCAGTGAGAGCCATATAGAAGGCCTGCGGTCGAGAGAATGTGAAGCCCCACTGACTTTTGGCCCATTTGGCAAGATCCTTCTCATTACCAAGCAGAAGGCCATTCAGAAAGCACATCAGGCTGCTGGAGTACTGCCAGACTTCACCACGCAGTTCCTTGAATCCCAAATGTTGAACAGCAGATGTGGTGTGATTCAGCATTTCAGAATAACCATAAGAGCAAACTATAGCAGTATTTTGTTGTGTAAGTGTGTTTACTTGTATAATAAAGCATCACATCACAATCCTGAGAAAGCTATTGTTGTAGAACTTTACTTGATTATTGTATTTACATTTTCTAATACTTCATTATACTAATATCATATCATATACAGAAAATACTGTGCTACCATGCAGAAAATAATATTGTAGTTTAGCTTCACTACATACTGTATATTTAGCTTGAGATAATGGCTTCTTTACAGATTAAGATACATACAAAAGCTATTATCTGTTTATAGAAAAACAATGCATTGTTACAGATTTTAAGCCAACAGTACACAAATGAATGAAATTTAGCTACACTTTGAAGAGTTCCAACATTTAAATGCTGCTCACACATTAATGCATTGGTAACATTAATTAATTAAATCAATGATAAGGTAATATTAACCCAGTCCTAATATAATACACACAAGCCATATTTTGCTGTGTAATGAGTGATTTAACTGACACTTTAAACATGTTTTGCCCCTAATACTTATGTACTTTTACTTTAAGCTATAACACACCCGTCATACTCCAGTGTATGCACATGTGTTTTCACTTGATTTAGACTATGCTTGATTGGTATCTGGATGAGAGGTTTTTCCTCTTTTTAAATAATTGGCTGGACAAGTTGGATTTAAAAATGTAATAATATAGGCCTATGTACTGTATAATAATCACAACACTTACACTTTTCTTGTTGCACAGATAAGTGTGCCAGTCAATTTCGAGCAATGATTGGATTTGTGGATCCAGAAATGCCTCAGGAAACTTCTGCTTTAGTCCCTGTAGTGTCAAGAGATATCAGTGTTGTTAATGTTCAGGTGAAAACATATCAATTAATGCAACATATAACCAAAGATTTGACAAACTAATGGTTTACCTCGGCAATACTTTTGGCAATATGGAAGTTACGGTCTTTAATTAAGCCAACAATTTCCAAATGAACCTTTGAGTCCATGGCTAAAAAGAAAAACGTCCCCCAGAACTCTTCTGTCAGTAAACAAAGCCTCGTATCCATAGCAACAAGCAATTCGTGGCGCTTTAATATGACGTTTAATTCAAAATGTCTGGCCTTGTTCCATTTTGTTGATGTAGTTCCTTTTTTTTCTATCTTGTTTGTTTGATAAGCACATTGTTTGAATAAATAGGTGCCGAATGTATTGTATAGATGCCATAACTCTATTCTCTAATCGATTTATACCCATAATTAACTTTCTTTTCAACGCCGTGACAATTAAAACAGCAATAAGACAAGCAATGGGCAGACACATTTAACGAATTGGAACGTGGCCCAACCGCGCCACTGTTTGAAAACTCCGACTTGGTGTACCCGTTTTGTACTGTTTAATAGTACCGATTTCTACACATTTCAGTCTGTTAAAACAGTATAAATCTATTTGGGAGTAGTTATGGGTGTTCACGATTTATGGTCTATCGTCGAGCCGGTGCGTGAATCGGTGCCGCTGTACAGCTTGAGCGGAAAGACATTGGCTGTTGACCTCAGTTTATGGGTGTGCGAGGCTCAGCATGTCCAAGCAATGATGGGGAGAGTTACTAAGCCACATCTGAGGTAACGTTAATGTTCACATATTGTTTTTAATTCCTCGTTATTTTAGCTTCAGTTATAATATGTAAACTTTTGTGTGTCCACTGGTCACTCAATTACTCCAATACAATGCCCTTTTTGTGTGCAGGAATTTATTTTTCAGGGTGTCAGCCCTCACACTGATGGGAGTAAAGCTCGTCTTTGTTATGGAAGGAGAAGCACCTAAACTTAAAGCAGAAACCATAAGTAAGAGGACAGAAACAAGATTTGGAGGATTCAAAAAGGCTGCTGCCCCCAAATGCACAACAAATACAAACAGAGGGCGCTTTAAAGCTGTGCTTAGAGAGGTTGGTTGGTCCTCCACCTCCCTGAATCTCCATCACAGACAGTCTTAATAAATTAATGTTGCTTTTAGGCACACTCTCATCTTTCTCTTGGATTTATAGTGCGCAGAGATGTTGGACTACCTGGGTGTCCCGTGGGTAACAGCTGCTGGAGAGGCTGAGGCGATGTGTGCTTATTTGGACTCTCAGGGCCTGGTGGACGGCTGTATCACCAATGATGGAGATGCATTCCTGTATGGAGCCAGAACTGTCTACAGGAACTTCAATATGAACAGTAAAGTATGTTGGTGAGATTTTATATCAATTGCTAACGGTCTACAAAATGTGTAGAATGATGATAGTATTTTGTTATAGTATTTATTGAGTAAAAATACAAAACATTTGTGGGAATAAATGATCACTGTTCTCTTGTATGTCTCTTTCACAAATGTAACAGTGTGGGGTTTAAAAAAACAAATGTGATTTCCTGTGAGTGGCTTTTTTTTTTTTTTTTTTTTTTACTTTAGGGACTTTGTAGTAAAAAAAAATGTAAAAGATTAATCAATAGTGAAAATAATAGTTAACCGTAACTTCAAAGCTATCATTTAAAACTAGCCTGTGAGTGGGAACTATTTCATATAAATATATTTAACTTACCTCTTTCTCTTTGTCCTCCAGGACCCTCAGGTGGACTGTTACTGCACATCTCGAATACAAACAGAGTTACATCTGCCCAGAGAGAACCTTGTTGGTCTGGCCATCCTCCTTGGTTGTGATTATATTCCTAAGGTAGGGAAGAGTTTTACACATCAAAATCAGCAACATGAATAACATAAGATAACTTTACCTGTTTATGCTTCATGAAGGGCATACCAGGTGTTGGTAAAGAGCAAACTCTAAAACTTATCCAGATGCTGAAAGGACAAACCCTTCTGCAGAGGTAGGAAACAAAATCCAACGATTGCCTTCTTGATAACATGTTGTGCTGATGTACTTATAACCTTTCTCTGGTCACTTCAGGTTCATCCAATGGAAAGAAGATAATGCAGCTGTATCCGAGGAAGCTGTAAAAAGGGTTCCTCACTGTCATGTTTGTCGACATCCTGGTGAGTGGTGCCCTGCTTTTAACTGTGAACCTGATAAGAAGTGAAGGGGGGGGGGCTCCCATGTCTCACACATTGTTGATTTAAAGCCATTTAACCAGTCATGTGTAAACATACACTTACATGAGAGATGTTTAGCCTGAACATGCCTCTGAGTTTGCACCAACCTTTTAGTAGTGTGTCATATTTTTACCTGCTTGATTCTCTTTTATTCATAACTGAATTTTATTTTCTTCTCCTGTTTTATCAAATATATACTCTGATTCCTCTCCTTGATTTGTCAGGCTCAGCAAGAGCACATGAGCATGGTGGTTGTGTGCTTTGCAACAGTATACATTTCTGTCAACCTCAAGACTTTGATCATCAGTGTCCATGTGACTGGCATCACTATGAGAAGACCCGCCAGGCCTTGTCTTTTGAGGCAAATATCAGGAAGTATGTGCCTTTCTGTAAATTAGCAGTAGTTTATTTTTACAATTAAAAATTGTAGATGTAAAGGAACAATGCAAATCAAAAAGTAAATGGAACGAGCATACACTTGTATAGTGTTTTCTGTGCATTGAAGTACACACAAAGCACTTTCACACTATTAAATCGTTAACCCATTTACACACACTCACCAGAGGGACAGCCACCGGGAGCAACTTGGGGTTCAGTGTCTTGATCAGGGACACTTTGACATGTGAACTGGTAATCAAACTGTCACTCTTCCG